ACACCCTTAGGGACATGTTAGCGGAAGATAACAATGATTTTAGGCTATATGCGACCCTAAAAATTGTAAAATAAATGATATTTTCATCTAAAATGCGCCAGCCCCTTTCTCACACACCAATGTCACACCCTAAAATGGAAATTTGAAAATATCTTATTTTAAATTCAGAAATTTTTCACGGAAAGATAAAATTCTTTTTTTTTGTTGCTTTATGTCTGACTAAATTCGAGTATTACTACTTGGAAAAATAAGAAAAAAATTGTAGAAGGTCTGACTTAATATTGACTTGTATTACTGGAAATATTAAAAACGATTATAAAGGCTGCCTTAATATTTACTTGTACTACTGATAAAATTATGAAAATTTAAAAAGTCTGACTACAAATCAATATATACTACTGGTAAAAGAGAAATTTAAAAAGGCTGACTAAACATTTACTTATATTACTGATTTTCTGTTTTCATATAATTTTATACCTGTCTTAAATGGATATATTCTACTGATATAAAATAACAAAAACAAAAAATGCCGAAGAAAAAATTGACTTGTACTACTGATTTTATAATTATTTATTTTGTCTGACTAAAGTTGAATCTATCTACTTGTAAAAAAATTAGAAAGTCTGACTAAACATTGACTTACTCTACTGATAAATTTTTTTTAATTTATTATTTCTGACTAAAATTAATTTATACCACTAGAAAAATTACTAATGCTTAAAAAATCTGACTAAATATTGACTCGTACTACTGATTTTTGAATTATCTTATTTTATGTCTAACTAAAAGTTTACTGATAAAATTACAAGAATTTTGAAAGTCTGATTAAATATTTATTTGCACTACTGACAAAGTTGAAAAAAAATAGAAAGCCTGTTTAAATATTTACTTTTACTACTGAAAAAATTGAAAACGCTTTGAAGGCTTGCCTTAATATTTACTTGTACTACTGATCAAATTACAAAAATTTAAATAGTCTGACTAAATATTTACTTGCACTACTGATTTTCTAATTTCATTATTTTATGTCCGACAAAAAATCGATTTATACTACTAATAAAATAACAAGAAAAAAATGTCTGACTAAATATTTGCCTGTACTACTGATTTTATTTATTAATATTTGCCTGACTAAACACGATTTTATCCACTAAAAAAAAATCTACAAAAAAATTATAATGTCTATTACAAGAAATATTTACACTACACTGAGAATATGAAAAAAAAATTCGAATGTATCATCAAATATTTACTTGTAGTACTGATTTTTCTTTCCATTTGTTTATTTTCTCTCTTATACAAAGAAAAATGTAGTTATTTTACACAAAAAGAATTGGTAATTTTTTATCGGGAATTAACTCTAGACGAATATAAAAAGATTTATAACAAATGACATAATCTATCTTTCGACAGGTGTCGATTATTTTAACGTTGAAAAAAAAAAAATATATATAGTTATAAACGTGATTTTTTTTCGTTAAATGTTACGGCAGGCTGATTTATCATGATGTTTAAACGGTTCCAACTGCTACAGGATAAAATTGACCTCCAACTTTTAGGTAGAAAATTCGATTCACGTATGAGCATCTGGCTTCAAAAAATAAAAAATAAAAAAATCTAGTGAACTATAAACCAAATGCTTTTTGAAACGCAACCCTGACGCACGTGTATATATATATATCGATATTGGCGAACCGTAACTTACGCGATCAATCCATTAATTCCAATCACGTTCTTTAATTTAATCATCCGAAATTTGATTGAGAAATGTAGACTTTGAAAATCAACGGGATTCACAAATTCAATTCCCGAAAATAATATTCTTCGAAATTCAATGAAATAGCCGCGAAACATTTGAAATTGAAAAATTATTTTGTTCCCGGTTAATTCATATTTTAATTGAATGAGTTTTATTATACAACACTTTTATTTCAAATATATTGTATATCAAGAATTAGCTTTTTCTAGAAAATACATTTTTCTCTTCTTTTTTTTTTTTAAATTTCTATTTGAACTTGCATTTAATTGTTTAATTTTAATTTTTCGATTTTAATATTCACCCAGAGAAAAAATATATTTGTCTCAGAATCAAATAAATATTTATTTACTCCAAATAAATATTTATTTGTTATAAATAAAAATAAATTTTTAAATAAATTTTAATTTTAAATAAACAAATAGGCTATTATAGATTCTAAGAAAAATAAACGTTTATTTAACTCAAATATATTATATTTGGTTCAAATAAAACATTTCTCTGGATGTATTAATTATCTTATTATCTTGCAATACAAAAATCGTAGAAAAAAAAATTCTACAAAAGCTGATGATTAATCCCCCCCCCCTCTTCCGCCACCCTTCACTGATAAATGATGAGACATAAATCTTTAAGAAAAGTTTTCAGATAGCTATTTGAAACTTTGCCACTGAAGTTTGCTTTCATCAAGACTAATCTGTCTTTTGAGATAGGGGAACACTTAAGGCAAATATGCTATGATTAGATGGCAAGGATATGGCACTCCTGTGGAATTATTTCAAGCACCTATCGTCCTTTAGAGGCTTCCCGAGAGTGACAGAATATGACTGGGTTCCTTAAAAGTAACGAGGGTTTTCTTCCTTAATTTAACATATCCCCTGTGACTATCAACATACTGGAAAAAAAATTATTTGATACAAATAATCGTTTACTTTATTATTATCAAATAAATATTTATTTGAATCAAATAATTTTTTTTTTTCATGCTAGCATTGTTTTCTAAAACTATATTCATTTTACTCCAAAGTAGGTTGTAAATTATGTTCTACATCTCTCGAAAATTTTTTTTTTTTATTTTTCAATCATAAAAATAATCCATATCCAGAAATTAATAACTGATGCAGTACTGGTGGAGTACTGATAGCAGTACTGAGCCAGTAGTCAATTTCGGATATAGGAATTAATTCTCTTGTTTGATTGTCAATTCTAATTTCGGAGAAAATGGAAATTTTGTGTATACAAGGAAACAAGTTCACTTGGTTCAAATACAAGTTTCGCAATTGTTGGCTAAAATAACTTTGTGGCTATTGCTAGTGAAATGGACTTCTCGGACGTGAGCGCGATACAATCATTAATCACTGATAGGCGGAATTTAATTCAATTACTTCAAGTATAGTCTGCAAGCTTTTAAGCCACTCCTTTATTTATTTTCTTTTTTTGTAATTATTTCTCAGAATCATAATAATTTACTGCAAAATTTCTAATTTGTTTTTATTTTATTTAATTAAAAAATAAAATAAAAATTCTATAAAATTAAATAGAAAATTTTTTTCTTGATTTGCAAAAATAACAACAATAATTATTTCTGTCCAAATTGAGCTTTAAAACAGTGTCGAATATTGAAAATGCAATATTACTGAAAAAGGTTTTGTTGCTAAAATTAAACCTTAATTAACTTCTGTCAGTTATATAGGCATTCAATTAAGAATCATTAACAAAAAAAAGGGAGAATTGAAATAATGAGAAATTCATTGTCAAATAGTATAAAGTACAATTTTTTTTTGTTTTGTTTTTATTATAACGATTTTATTTAAACAAACTCAAATTGCTTTTTTTGTGTTTATATATAGTAATATATATTTCGTTTTTGCAATTTCAATGTCGAAATTGCTTTCAGCTTTTTCTATATACTCAGAACATAAAAGGACAAAAATAATAAAAAAAAAAAACTACATTTTTATATGAGAGTTTAGTGACAGTTTTTGCAAGAAAAAAAAAGGAAAAACAATATAACAATCAATGAACATAGAATGAAAAATCAATATAAAACTCTTTCATCGAAATACAATAATAGTAGATAAAGATATACATTCAATACCTTATATTTCGTATTATTATATATATGAAATGAATTTGAAAAGCTTTATTCAAATTTTTTTTTCCCCAGATACAGTTAAAATTTTATTTTATTAAATTGTATCATCAACCTTTTACATAGTGCGATTCGTTTTCTCTCACTCTCATTCCCTTATTTTATTTATTTTATTTTTTTTTTTTTTTAGTATAGTGTCCATTCGACATCTATCATTCTTCGCGGCATTTATTTCACAAAATTAAAATCCTACTCTTTTGAAATTGTATTTTGTAAAAAATAAAATTCTTTTGTCCATTGAGTTTTACTCGCTGTTGGCATTTTCAGCTTCCTGAACACAGATTCTCAATGTTTGCCAAATGTTTTGAAAAAAAAAAAAAAAAAACTAAACACCAGTTTGTTTATATTCTGTGTTTTGAAATTTTACACCCGTCTCTTGGAATAAACATATGCCACGAATGATTGACGGTAATTGATATTACTAAATAAGTTTTAAATGCAAATGCATAAAAAACAAATTTTTCTTTTTGTTGTTCTTAAATTTTTTTTCTTTATTCTCATTTTTTTTTGGCACTTCATTTGATAATGAATTTTTTTATTGTTGATTTGCAAAAAAAAAAAATGGTATATCTATATTTAAAAATCGATTCTCTATATATTGCATTTACATCAAAATCAGCCAACAATGCTGGCAGACTACATGCAGTTGATAAGCACATTCGGTTTTGGAGAGGATCGTGCGAACGTCTGGTCAGGCATTACGTGCAACAATTTACGTTCGTAGCATTGCGATATGTGTGCAGAGAGCTTATGTAACGTGTTAATATCCGGATAACCGAAAACGTGGCTGACTATATTCGTCGGCGCATTGACGTTTTGCTGTTTGCATGGAAATTCAGAATAGCAGTTGCACTACTACTGATTTCACGCACCAATCCTCCACGACCGATTTCCTCCCTTCAATTTTATTCCCCACAATCTGTTAAACATATACGATTATCCTTTTTTCCTTTTATATATGACAATTATCATTGTAATTACATTCTCACTTTCAATAAATTAAAAACAAAATTATTCCTTCAATAATAAAAATATTATTTAAAGTAGAATAGAAAATTATTTTAATTAATAAATTATTAATTTATATTTCAGATGACGAGATCCTTTACAGAGATGAGAAAGGCAGTTTGATTATTTTTAACGTCACCTCCAAAATTTTCCGCACGATATTGGAATATAAAAACAAAGTAAGTATTTCCCATATATATATATATATATATATATATATAGTTATTATAAACGTTAGAGCCCTGCAATTTCTCCTTGCACGAAAGAGTATGACGTGATTCCCAAAGAAAAATTGTTTCTCGTAAAATTACCATCGTTATTCCTTTACTCTCTCTCTTTCTCTCTCTCTCCCTCTTCTTCGCTTAAAGAAAAATTCTTCACTTTTAATAGAAAGCTCCATACTTTTTCCCTGATATACTTTTAAGTCTTTTATTAATTCTCGCGCCTTAAAGGTTTTTCTTATACATACCCTTTTAAAGTAAAAGTTTGTTGAAATAAAAAAAAAAAAACACCGAATGCATTGTACCTCTCTTTTTTTTAAGTTTCAGATTTAATTTTTTTTTTCTTCTTGTCCTTAATAAGCGTATCGATTTTTACATTTTATCTTTATTCTATACCCGTTGTTTCGCTTTGGTGAAAATGATAATAGTTAATTCCTACAATGTCGTCGTTCTCCTCCTCCTTCTTCTTTGCTTTCGAGTCGAGGAATAAGACAGAGGCGAAAGACTGCATACTAATTTTTTTTTTTCGCGTATACCAACACGTCTATTCTGAACGATTCACGTGATGTTGCATTTGCAGTGTCGTTGTCTCTTTGTGTAAAAAAAAGAAACAAAAATAAATGAAAAGATGGAGAGTAAAAAAAAACGACTCATTTCTCCAACTCATCCTCACTAATCCCGAATAAGCCAAGATGAGTTTACTTCACGCTCTATTGCCTCGAGCCCAAGTCGCTGACTTTAATACACCAGATGCTCAAAGCACAAGTAGAAAATAAACAAACTTTATATCCTACTCTAGCTTAGAAGAAGGAGAGAGATTCTTTACACATATTTTTCAAAAAAAAAAAAAAAAAAAAACTGCCAACTCTTTTCGACAATTTCAACTCTTTAGCGCAATGACCGTGTTGTTAGTTAGTAGCTGACAAACTGAAGCCGTTTCTCAATTATTAGGAAAAAATTAGGGGAAAAAAATTTGTCAGTACTCACTTACCGTCTATAGCTACTTACTGTTAGTATTCACTTAGTCTGTATATTCGCTTATCGTTAGTATTCAGTTACCGTCTATATAATCACTTACCGTCACTAGACACTTATCGTCAGAACCCACTTACCGTCAGTACTCACTTATTGTGAATACCCACTTATCGTCAGTAGTCAGTTACCGTGTCTGTATTCGTTTATCGTCTGTACCTACTTACCGTCATTAATCACTTACCGTTTATATATTTTCTTATCGTCAGTCGTCACTTACCGTCTGCATATTCGCTTATCGTTAGTATTCAGTTACCGTCTATATAATCATTTACCGTCACTAGACACTTACCGTCAGTATCCACTTACCGTCAGTACTCACTTATTTTCAATACCCACTTATCGTCAGCAGTCACTTACCGTGTCTGTATTCGTTTATCGTCAGTACCTACTTACCGTCATTAATCACTTACCGTCAGTAATTACTTACCGTTTATATATTTTCTTTTCGTCAGTCGTCACTTACCGTCTACATATTCGCTTATCGACAGTACTCACTTACCGTCTTTATAATCACTTATCGTCAGAACCCACTTACCGTCAGTGGTCACTTACGGTCTATGTAGTCACTTATCGTCAGTAGTGTTTATCTTCAGTGATTACTTATCGTCTGTATAGTCGCTTATCGTCAGTATTTATTTACCGTTTACATAGTCATGTACCGTCAGTAGTCACTTACCGTTAATATTGACACATACCGTCAGTAGACACTTATCGTCTATAGAGTCGTTTACCGTTTATATAATAACTTACTGTCAATTATTTACTGTAAATTACTAATTTTTTTGGAGAAATTAGCACTTACCGTTTGTTGTCACTTACCGTCAATTAATACATACCTTTGTTTTATTGTTTTTTATCCCTGATTATATATCCACTAAGTGATTTTTGACAGTTTTATCAACGGAAACTATTTATTGTCAACAATCCATTGTAAATGAATAACGACGGTAAGTGATAGTTGACGGTAAGTGTCATTAAATAGTAATCAGACGGTAAAAAATACTAGTTCGTAAATTGTAATTTACATAGTGATTGACAAATTAACAATCACAGTAAGTGGTAATATTGACAGTAAACAGTAAGTGTCACTTACTGTCGTGAGAATTAACGGTAAGTGATCAAGTTTCAAGTGCATCAGAAAAAAAAATGGAAAAAAATTGTCTGAATCAAAATCTCATTTTTTTTTGTTTTTCTCGATAGCAGTTTGAAAGTTGGTTTGGATCGCTTTAAAAATTGAAAATTCGCGCATACGGTCGTCGTCTCAAGGAGAAAAATAACTTTCGTATTGAAATGAGGACCAAAGTATAGTTTCACTTGGTGTTCTCTTCTCGGTATTGGTTGGAGGTTTTCGTCCAAGTTACTGGCGCATTTACATCTCCATTTACGCGCAGAACGAACGATGGCCGTTGAAACCAAAGACAAGAGAAAGAGAGAGAGAAAGAGAGAGACGTGAGTTTGCAAAGTTTTACCCGCAAGGCATTAAGCACACACACTTTCATTGGGCCTATAGCTATCACACACCACAAAAGACGACATTTACGATCTCAACTTTTGGCGTTAAAACAATAATCGCCGTTTGCTCCATTCCCCCTTATCACCGCATATGTTCGGCAATAGTTTCGATCAATGACCGAAAATTCACCTCACTATATATATTGACCAATTTAAATTTTGTTTGTTACTTATTCTTATAATGAGAGAGAAATTTAATTTCCCACCTGTATAATATAACGTTTGTGATAGTTAGTAAACTAACATTTTTTTTCAATTAAGAAAAGTATTTATTTTTAATTTTTGTTACCTACTAGCAATTTAATAATACAAAAATTTATTTAATACAAACATATAAACAGCATTTTAATAAAGAATTTCATATTTAATTAAAATTTTATTCAAAAAGGAAACCAAATAAACGTGTATTTCAATTGAAAATTTTATTTTTAAAAATTATATTTAATTAAAAATATATTTAAAGTTGAAATGAAACAGTTATTAAAAAAAAACTGTTATTAACTGTATATTGTTTATGCCTGAATAAACCCGTGTTTTACTACTGGTAGAATTATTAAAATTTAACAAGTCTTACTAAACATTTACTTGTACTACTGTTTATTCTATAAATTCAAAGTCCGAGTAAAACCTATTTATACTACTAATAATACAAAAATTTTAAAAAGTCTGACTAAATATTAACTTTTACTACTAATTTTTGTATTTTATAATTAAGTCCAACTGAATGTGATTTATACTACTTATAAAATTATCAAAAAAAAAGTCTGACTAAGTATTGACTGGTACTACTGACTACTTGTACTACAAATAAAATTACAAAAATTTAAAGTCTGATTAGATATTTACTTGTACTACTGATTTTCTAATTTTATTACTTTACGTCCGACCGAAAATCGATTTATACACAGAAAATTATAAGGTATTAAAATAAGCTGCAACGCTTATTTATTATTTTAATCTAATTTTGCTTATTTTAATACCAAAATGGATTAAAATAAGCAAAATTGGATTAAAATAAAGAAGCGTTGCAGCTTATTTTAATGCCTTTTAATTTTCTGTGTACTACTAATAAAATTACAAAATATAGAAAGTCTGACTAAATATTGACTTGTACTACTGATAAAATTATAAAAAATTTAAATAGTCTGACTAAATATTAACTCGTACTACTGTTTTTCTAATTTTATTATTTTATGTCTGACAAAAAGTTTATACTGCTTAAAAAATTACAAAAAAAAGTCTGACTAAATATTGTTTTATACTACTGTTCTTTGAATTTTAGAAAGTTCGACTAAATAATGACCTGTACTACTGATTTCCGAATTTAGTCATTATGTCAGGCTAAATTCAATTATATATCTACTAAAAAAAATCTTCCACATCAAAATTAGAGTGTCTGACTAAACATTGATCAAAATATACAATACCTGGATTATTTCTATACTTTTCAAAATACATAAATATGCTAAACACAATTTCAAGTGATCGTCTACATTTTTCTTTTTCTCTTTTTTTTTTGTTGAAAAGATTAATCCCTTTTAAGCAGGTGGGAAACGATAATCGCCGAGTTTAAACTAAGGTCTTGAGAAATCGTTTAGTTTGTATAATAAAAAAAAAAGAAAAAAAAAAGTTTCCTGTAGGGGGATTCTCGAGTTTGAGGGTGCGAATGATGGTATATAGTAAAATAAAAGTAGATAGTGGTATGGATATATACTGTGATACTGCTATATATATATATGTGTTGCGCGCATAGTTACCACTGTGCGCGTATATATAAATCTAAGCTGTTCTGTTTCTTTATTTACCTCATCTTTTCTCCTAAAGGTTTTACCTTAATCTATCTCCATTAAGTATCCCCTCTCTCTCTCTCTTTCTCCTTCTCTGTTCACCGTCAGCTTTGCTCTGTTAACACCAGGAAACCTTTCTAAAACTAGATGGCAAAGAAGGAGAGGAAAACATTAAAGTTTTACGCATGCTAGACAACACTTCTCTTTTGCGGATACTATACCGAGGACTCACCTATTCTAACCTTAAAAAGCTTTTCAATAAAAAAAAAAGAGAGAGAAAGCCCCCTCCCCCCTTCGAAAAAGGAATTCTTTGTCTATGCGATTAATTCTTAAAAGTTTCAAGTTTCGAAAGATTTCTCTGAAAAAAGATTTTTTTTCTAGAATCAAAATAAATTTTAACCTAAAAAGTCACATTTTATTCTTCTGCAAAATAAATACCTTTTTTTGCAAGCAACCGTTACCATAAAAAAAATGTTAATTTTTTATAAAAATAATAAACTGTTTTGCGTAATTTTCTTTTTTTTACTTTTCTCTGTTACTACAAATAAATAAAAAAAAAACTTTTTCTTTTTCTAGGCATTGTTGACTAGTTTCTACTACGAAATTTCAGCGGACAGAAAATATTTGCTCCTAGCTTCGGCCTATCAAAAGGTGAGTAATTTCATTATTTCTACACTCAAAAAAAAAAGAAAACATTTATTTGATTCAAATAATCGGTTACTTATCAAATATTTACTTGAACCAAATAATTTTTAAATTTGAATCAATATTTTCTGCAAATACTAAATTGATTGAAATAAAAATTATTTGCCTCAAGTAAATATTTGATAATATTCAAATAATTGATTATTTAAATCAGAGTAATTAATTTTCAGTGTATTAAAAAAAATATTCATAATTTTAACATTAAAATAATTAATCTCAATTCGACTTTTTTTTTGTGTGGAAAATTTCGATTTAAAACGAAAAGAATGAAAAATGCATTTTTTTTTTGTTTTTGTTTACTTTTACCACCAAAACGCGATTTGAATATAAATGGAATTAAAGTAGGAAGAGACAGAGATAGATAGAGAGAGAGATGTAGATGTTAAAGAAGTGCGTGGCAACATTTTTTTTTTTATTTTTGGTTGCTGTCAAATTTTTCGGAGACTTGGAACGCACGATTTGCAAATTTCATCAATCGAGAGAGGCGCGTATGTGTGTGTGTGTTAGTTAACAAAAATTTTGCGGGCCAGTGAATGCTTGTGGTATCAACGTCAATTGGTTCACTATATACGTTGACAGTTGACATTTGCATGCGAACGATGAACTTTAGGCAGAGCGCACAATGGTCCCTGATTGCATTCGTGTAACGCACTTTGCTGATTTTGCTTTATCAGCGTTTCAACAGTTCTTTAGAATCCAAATGTATCGCTTTAACGTTAAAACAATTAATTTAACCTTTCTTTTCTCTCTTTTTTAACCGGGATTTTATTTTTACCTTTTCCTTAAATTCTCTGTCTTTTTCTCTCGTGAATTTTTTTTATTTTAAAAATAAATAATATTAATTAATATTTAGTATATTAATATATTATTATAATTATTATATTATATTATATTATATATTTTATAATTATATATTATTATAAATATTTAAAAAATTGTAATTAAAATAACTTGTGTTATAAAAATGAATTAGAAGATTTTAATTTTAAAAAAACATGAAGCCATCAATAATGAATTGAAAGAGATTAAATTAATTATATATTGAATTTATAGAATTAGGTAAAGAGATTTATTAAATCAGTTTTAGTTTATTAAAACAGAAATCAGATGAATTTTCTATATGCTTTTTAATATATTACTTTATATATGTGTGAAAAATAACATGTGAAATTAAAGAAGGAAATAATAATTTTCAGTTATTATTACTGATTTACATTTTTAGAATTTTCCATGACGAAAAGAGAAATTGTGCAATAAATTTATTTTCACACTTGTGATTAAAATTATATGTAGGTTATAGAAAATTTATTGGATTATTGTAAAATTTTAATGTTGAATTATTATTCACTTTATTATTATTTATAAATGTTCAGTTTATAATAATTTTATTAGCGTCAAAATTTATTTCCTTTTATTTATTGAAAATAATTTAGAGAAACTCTTTTCAATTGAATTTTCAAATATTTACCTACTTGATGAAGCAATATTTTGAAATACAGAATAGTTTCTAGTTGTACAAAATTGAATTAAATTCTCAAATAAAAAAAATCCAGACACGAAGAATCGAACCCAGGTCCTTGCTTTTTGAAATCGAGTACCCAAGCCTCTCAGCTATCTCACATCTTAATATCCCCTTTTGAGAACTTTATAATAATACTTTATTTTTATAACAACAATTTGAACATTGTTTTAAAAAAATAAAAGAAAGCATCGTTGAAAGTTTCGATTTAATTGAATACAATAGTTTCGGACATTTATAATCCGAAAGGAAATATATTATTCGAAGGGGAAAGTTTACTTTATGAATTTAGGGAATTCGTAAAATATACAAATATAAAGGGAATAACAACACACACAAGCTAATCCAAATTCACGCAAGTTTACATTCCCTCAGTTTGTGTGTGTTTACGTCAGCCGACGAATTGGATTGCTCATGTGAAATCCTGAATTACCGTCTGTGCGGTTTGTCCTATATATATATATATAAAGGACATACGGATTTCATTGGAACGCCTTGTAGGAACACGTGCTTGGGACGGTTACGTGAGTTTTCCCCCTTTTTGGTCGACATATAAGGGTCGTCTAGCTGCAGTGCTACGCTATAAAGTGGGCGGTTTTTCAGATAGAGAGAGAGAGAGTAGAAAAGGATCCCGAAAATATCGGGAGAAAGATCCTGAATTTCATTTTCTATTTGAGGCGTCTTTTGTCTCTCTTGAGAGACTTTAGAAAGGCCTTTTTATGATCCTCTTGAATACACCTGATTGGTCAAAAAATGTTGCTAGCAAGACGTGGGTCCACTTAGTGTCAACCTTCCTCAAAAATGATGTCAAAGTATTCCTCAGTGGCTTAAAAGGGGTCCCTCTTCTTTACACGTTCCATTTTATCAAGTGGATATTCCTATTTTCCACACTTTTGGAAATAAAAAAAAAATTCTTTTCGCATATTTCTGATGCAAATATTGACTCTGAAATATATTTTTATTTTTAAAATTATTTTTAAATTAAACTAGTAGGTTAAATTTTGCTAATAGTTTTTCCTTAAAATTTTGTATATACAATAAATATGGAAATGTAGAATGTGTACATGTGAAACATATTTAGATAGATGTATAAAGAGCGATAGAAACAAAGTGAACAAGAGATAAACATTTTATGTCCCTGTAAAGTGAATTACTATATAGGACGGATTGGTACTGCCATTTAGATTGATAATTCAAATTGTGCATTCACTCTTGGTCGATTAATTACCATAGAGTTGTGGTGTGAATTTTCCCAGAGATCAGAATACTGTCAACCTATATACTGTCAATCAATTTTCACTTGATTAACAATGATCCAACATAATAGGCCTCAATTGAAACTGGAAACTGAATTCTATCGCAAAACCTTTTAATATTTCATTCTTTTCATTTTTTTTTTTATAAATAATAAAACTTTTCCATTTTATATTATAGAATATATAAATGGTATTTATTAACAATTTAATTGTATATTAGATAAATGAATGAGTTTGCATTTAAATGAAGGAGTTAAATAAACAAAATGAAATTTAGTTAGATACCTTTGATCTGAAACGTAACTTCCACTTTCCAACGTGTCTGAGAACTATGAGTAAATTCTAACTCGCTCGAGGTCTGCTTATTAAACTAACAATGAAATATTAAGTACAGTCCTAAGTCTGAATATTTATGAGATTTAGATTAAATTAAATTTTCAGAACTACAAAACTTTGTTTCCTTTCATAATTATTTGAAAACAAATATTCAAAATGGATAATTGTCAGCAAAAAAAAAAAACGAAATTAATAAAAATTTTATATATATAGTTATGATTCACTGTGGTATTAATTACTGAAATTTGACACACTTAATTGCAAACAGAGCAAGTTTAATTCCTTCTTCACTCAACTTGCCAAATAACTTTCCACTTTCCTTAATAATAATTTACGCGATCCCCTGTGGAACGTAAGCTTCGCTTGGAAGATCACATTTACCAAAATGTCAGTAAATTTATAAAGTTTCGTACGTATTTAAGGTGTCAAGAACTTAGTAAGGATGTTTAAATTTATCAAAAAAAAAAAAAATTTTTTTATTTTTTTCTCCTAAAATAACATCTTTTGATTATTTTCAAATACAGGAGATAACATTTCTGTATATACATATATATATATATTTATGTGGAAAATTGATTGTTATTTGTCGTGAAATTTATATCATATTTCTTGTTTAAGTCTCTTTCAATTTTGAGGGGGTTTTGATGTGAAACTAAGCCCTTCCTCACAATAAAGCTGGACACTGTTCGAAATCCTTTATAATCCACAAACAATACCGACCAAGTAAGCTCTCATTTTGACATTAATAATGCTCTAGTGACACATTCAGGATTCCCACGCTAAAGGATTATTATCTAGCGTTTCTTGTCATAAAAGCCAAAATCTAAGTTCGTTTGTTTTTTTAATTCCATGTAAATCAAAGACACAGAGAATAATTTATTATATTAGAAAAAAGTTATAATGAAAATTTCAATTGTTTTCAAAGAAAAAGAAATAATGAATTTTTCAATGAATTATTTTAAATTCTAAATCATATAGAAATAAAGCAAATTATTTTGTGATAAAATAATATTTTTAAAAAGTTAAAAATGAAGATATAAAAATTACCGGCACAGAAATCTACCCTACCGACTGCTGGTAAAATAGGAAAATGAAAATATATAAAATTACCGACACAGAAATCTACCTTACCGACTGATGGTAATTCAGGAAATGAAGATATAAAAAATTACCGACGCAAATCTGTTTTATCATCAGTCGGTATTGTAGATATCTATGTCGGTAATTTTTTTTATCTGCTTTACCATCAGTCGGTAAGGTAGATTACTGTGTCGATAATTTTTTTATGTTTATATTTCATATGTACGCTTATGTTTGTGCTTATGTGTTGAATGTCGAAGTAAATTTTGCCAAATATTGTTATTATAAGGATGTTTGTTTAATTGTTGTGTTGTCGGTGAATATGTTGGAAGACAAATAAATATTTGTTTAATAATTCAAAGATACAGAGAGAGAGAGAAACTATTTAACTGGAATATTCTCTTTTTAAGAGTATATAATCATGTTTGTATTCTAGTTTATCTAATATATAAAGGTATATGAATGTTGATACGAGCATTTATATAGATATAGTTAAACGCACATGTTTCAAAGGATCGTTAACGTAATCGCACATCAGTTATACGAGTAGTGTACGTGGTTTCAATGAGATATGGAGCTTGATTTTCAAGTAATATATTGATTATCGCATAATATAATATTAACATTAGTATCAAACAAAATATTTCTCTGATTGAACTTGTAAAAATTTTTTATAAATAATTTTTTAGGCTTTTGATTAAAATTTTGATCTCTAATCTATTTTTTTTATATGCACAAAGTATATATATATATAT